TCCAATCCACTAGAATCCAACAATAGTATAAAGATCAATGTTACAATTCAACAGATCTATAAAGGATCAGCCCCCACACCCAAGAATCTCTCACATAAACTCTCAAAAATACGATTACACAAAGTAACCAAAGGTTACTGCCCACATAAGAATAGAAACACAGAACCAAGCCTTAATCAAACACTAGATCTCACCAAGAATCATCTAAATTACCAGATTATAGGCTAAAATCAAAGGTTTTCAGAGAGAGAATAGAGAGATCCAAGAATAGAGAGAACCCTAGAATAATCTCAAAGAAGTGAGATGAATGAAAGAGTCAAGCCAAAATATCAATAGTCAGAAGCATTCAACAGTCACGGCTCCATCCACGTGTCACAATCTCAGCATTTGAGATAAGTGAGATTTGGGCTTCCGAGTTGCATTCTTAAAGGCTGGACAACTTACAAATAAAAGGGTTGCATCACAGGGCATGAAGAAAGGTAAGGTATTGGGCTGCCTCAATTGGGTCAAATCGTTAAGCACCAAACTTAACACTTTTTATGGAAAATATCAATTTTTAAATAAAAAAATAGATTAATTGTACTTGAACTTTTTTATACATTGGTTGCTTGTTTAATTTTAATAACTTTCTACATATTTGTACATATTAATAATACTGAACATTCGAGAATTTTTTTATCAAAGAGTGTTGAAATGCTATATTTTTTTTTCATTTTGGCTGTTTATTTTTCTAATTGAGGTGAGTTATATTTTTTATATTCTTTCAAAAAAATATTTTAATTGACATGAGAAATATCATTTTGTCACTGTGTTCTCGATCATTTGATAATGCAAGTAGCATTTTAAAACGTTATGAACAAAATAAAGAGGTGCAATAAGTTATATAGACATAAAATATTATATTCAAGAATTTTTTCGAAAATGAGAATTTAAAAAAATAAATGAATTTAATAAAAGTCTTTAAATGAGAGTTGTATGAAGTGTTTAAATTGATTGTNGGTGCAATAAGTTATATAGACATATAATTTTATATATAAGACTTTTTTCGAAAATGAGAATTTAAAAAAATAAATGAATTTTATAAAAGTCTTTAAATGAGAGTTGTATGAAGTGTTTAACTTGATTGTTATATAATTGTGTATAAAAACTACACATTTTACCGATATTTTTAAATACTCACTCTTATAATAAATTTACAGGTTAGTCGAGTCAATTAGATTTTTGACAGGATTGTGATGCAGGTTGCCAATGAGATCGAAGAAAACAGTAAACATTAAATTTTTTTGTCCTTTAATTTATTAACTAGGATAATTCGTTCAAAAACATGTTATTAATTAGTTATGTGATTATGTTATTTTTAAAGATATAATTTTCATATTTAGTTTAAATTTATGGATATTCCAATTATTTTATTTTAAATGAATTTTTTTTATTGTTCCGCATTTAATGTAAAAAAAAAAAGTAAGTTTTTTGGTAACACTAGTGTATATGAAAATTTGGAATGTTACATCTTCACCGTTAAACCTTTTGCTCCTCTTACCGAAGCCAAAAATCAACATAGAAAGAAAAAAGAAGAAAAATGCAGAACTCCACATATTTTCTGACTATATTATTTCATACCTGCATCTTTATTATTCTCCATTTGATATGCCAACATACTTTCAACAATATCTACAAGATTCCCCATGCAACCTTCATAATTATTCAAAATATTCTCAACCACATTGCAATTCTAACATCTTATTCAAAATATTATCAACCACATTGCAATTCTAACATCATAGTATATATCTGTAGACAGAATAAGCTTGGTATTCCTAGTTGCTGATCACGGATTAATCGGATATATAACCACCTTTCCGGTGGCTCGATTTGTTTCTAGATAAGCAAAAGCTTCATTAACCTTGTCGAAAGGGAATAACCCCTTGGGGTCGAGCACCGGCTTCACCTTCCCACTCTCCAGAAATGGATTTAGCTTCTTCAGCATTTCTCCATTTGAAGTAACTAAAAATGAAAAACCAGGTGGTGTTGGTGCACCCCATATGTATACTACACAGCCATCTTCCTTCACTGCTTTCCCTGCCCTATCTCCCTGCCCTGTAGTTTTTCAAAGAGAAATGAAACCATCATTAGTCATCAATATGTGAACTCTTCGCTAGCAACCCCAATTCCAAACAACAAAAAACTAAGCATTATTCTTGACAAATTGAGTTATGTTATATGAATCATTTTTCATGACTCTATTACATACAAAACTTCAGTAGGACAGTCCTATAAGTACATGTGGTAGGACCGTCCAGTCAAATCACGACACCTCAGCATTTGTATCGACTTTGTTTTTGTCTTACCATCTTGTACACAGAGATGTTGCGACTTGAGTGGCTCGAGATCCGATGTGACGTTATTTGAATTGACGGTCCTATTACGTGTGCACATAAGACTGTACTACCAAAGCTTTTCTCTACCACATCCTTACTTACCCATAATATATACCGCATTCCTTTTTCAACAGAAGAAAAGAATCAAAGTTTTTTATATAAGCTTCCCCAAATAACCCATTCACACAAGAAAGCAACAATCTTGACATTGCCACAGTAATAGACAGGCATATTTACCTGAGACGTCATCATCTCAAGTAAGGACCTTAGGTACTTAAGATATCCGAAAAAAAGGCCGTACAACATGCTAACCTACCACAATGATTCATTTTTAGGACAAAGATGTACTAATTTTATTTTATTAATCTCCATTTTGTAGTGACCAAGAATTTTTAAATAATATAAAATTATTTTCTCGAAAAATGTGTCGCTAAATTTTAAACCCTAACGTTAAAGTGAAAACGTGTTCGTCTAACCGTTATAAATGAATTTATATTTTTTCGAATCGAATTCATTTTCGAATAATTTTAAAGTATCAATTTCTTATTGTTTAGTTTTAAATCCAAATTTTAGTAAATTTAAGTGATATATATATAATTGTTTAAAGTCCAATTACT